TATTCCGTCCCCCGATAATTTTGTGCTCATTGCCACTTAGCACCTGTCCCGACCTGGGTTCAAGGCATCGCGCGCACACCTGATGAAGTTGACGCCGCCCATCCGCCCGGACCCGGTGACGATCTGGTGTACCATGTTGTCACCATTGGGCGGGAGCCTGGCATCTACACCAGTCTGTATGTCTCCTTCCCTGCTGTCCCCTCACATTATTTATTATCTCTGTCAGCCGTGATTCTGACTACCAGGTCCTCGGGGTTCCTGCCGGCAAACGCCTCAAGAAGAGCAGCCGCGTGGAGGCGCTTGCCTACTACCGTCTTCGGTACGGTGAGAACCTCGTTGAAAAGTGGGTTCCTGCAACGGAGATCATCGTCCCCACCAAGCCTGTCGCTGGCCCCTCAAATCTGGCGTCTTTTGTTGTGCCCCGCGCACCGTACTACGCGCCCGGCACTGCGGGAGCTCGCTAGTATGTGAATCTCATTTCTTATTGTCTCCTGTCACTGATACATTTACTTGTTCAGCCAGGCCGACCTCGAAACTACGGATAGGGAGGGTTTTTAGCGCTGTATCTACGGCGCCATTATTAGTTGCTAGTTACTACCTGAATACATTTTCGTCCCCCCTCACCTATCGGGCTCCATTCCCCAGGCATATCATCTCAGAACGCGAATCAAATACTGATTTCGGTAGAAGCGGTTACGTTGGATCAACACAAGGTAGGTACAGCATGTGTTCAAGCGGACGCCGGCGTGGCGCACATCTGACAGTCACACAGGAATTCCCCATCGTTGCCATGCTGCCAAGTCCGCCTCGACCACTCCAGCAGCTCCTCGCGGCCGCCCTCAGTTAGACTCCCCCGTGAAAATCCGCAACCCTCTGACCGAACCCAGAACTCACGGTCAAAGCGAGTTGGCTTGGTCAACGGACCGTAATTCAGTGCGGCCACATCCGCTGTCTTGTCTCGCACTCGTCTGCTCACCGTCGCAGACGGCGCAAGGTGCATGGGTTGGATGGTATCAGGACTCCTGTATTTGACGAAAAATTAGCACGACATCTTGAAGTGAATTGCTTGACTCGCCTCCCTTCTGTCGCGCTGAGTGCAAAGCGCTCGGGTGGCGGCGTACTAGAAATCCTGCAAAAAAGTTCAGCACATCATCTGTGGTAGCCTGTAGTGACATACGAGCTGAGCTGCAGCGCTTTCTCCAGCACTGAGTCAATGGACGGTACTCCGGGCGGCTTCCCCAATGCAGTGAGTGCCTCGATTGCAACACGCTCTGCCGACGTTGGGGAATTGACAGCACCATCGTGAGACTCGCGTGCACGCTCTTTCTCCTCCAACACATCGGCACCTGTCCTTCCCACCTGAGAGGATGTGCGGGCCCTCGCAACCGATCCATCGGAGAGCGGTGTTACACGCTCTCCCCGAATATCCTCGCAATCAGACCGCGCCAACAAAACCTCCCCCTCCGCCGAAGTTGACCCACCACGATTTGGTAGGTCGGATTCCTCGCCCTGGCAATCGAAATTGGTGGTCGGGTCTTCTTGCACTACATGTGTTGGCTTGGGCTTATCCCAGCGACGTCTATTCGCTTTAATTGCGGCGCTGGCGAGTCCTAGAATATTAGTAGCCCATAGCCAGTGTGTACTACATACCGCTTTTCTGCCATCTCAATACGGCGACGCTCGCGCACCTCGGGCTTCCTGAACTTGTACTGAGTAGCTAGTATCAAGCTTGGGATGATGGAGCCATGCACCTTGCATACGACTCCCTGACTGCTTGCCGATGCCTGGACGCCTTCTCTTCTGCTGAAAGTCTGCACGGTACAATGTTTATTTCTGAACTCTGAAGATCATGAAAGGGACTAACTGAGGCTTGTATCTTGCAGATGGGTCGAGCTTAGGTTTCGGTAGTCGCTTGCGTTTCGACATGGTGGTTAAGAGGAAACAGATGTTTGATGTACTGTGTTTGCGTGCCCACTCTGATCACCCCTCCGACCGCTTTCCAAAATTCTGCTCTCCCTCGCCACCTGGACCCCTCCGACCCACATATTTTTATAATTGGGTGGTCTCGGTGTACTGCATCGTTCTGTTGTTCGCAAGCCCGGGGTCACTCACACACATCTATTAACCACTTAGTTTGTTCTTGATATTTGACCCCCTTGGTTTCCACTCTTTCGACGTTCTGAATTTTGTTCTGGACTGTATATGATGATCTACCGAGGCAGTCTTTCCATTCTCCGTTCCATTCCATCGCAACAACCTCTACATTCCAGTTCAATCCTAACGAGAAGTGCGGGCCCCGATATTTCAGAATCACTTCTAAACTTACCTTAACTCTTGGGACAGGTGTTCCGCATGTTAAATGTTCCATTTCACTCGTAAGTAAATTCAAAGTGGATCTGTAGCGTCCAACTCTTGATGTTCTTGATATTTGACCCCCCTGTTTTTCCGACTTTTTTGGTTTAAATGGTATGCAAACAGTCTATAATTATTCCTTGAAAATTCCACGGGCTGGCGAGGGGAATCTGCCGCCGTATAACATGAACTCTTGTGTTGATGGCTCGCCCCGATGTGGATGTGTGACGCTGTCACCCTCCGCACTACCCCCTCCATCACCACGATTATGTCGTCCAATATTTCCCTTTGTCTCGTACCATCACCCCGTTCCAAGGTAAGCCTACCTACCCTCTGCCACTCGTCTCCGCCGTAGACCCCAGCAAACATGGCGGCAGCGCTGTACGCTGGGTCTTACCGCAGTGCCCTATGGTGGCATTGCTGCCATGCTTACTGGGGCATGCGGCGGAGACGAGTGGCACATCCATTCCTGCCATAGACATGCTAACATCAGACACAGGGAGCTTCGCCACGCGTCCGTGCGCTCCCATGGCGCGTCGGACGCGTAGCGGCGCGCAGTTCTCGCCCTACGAGCTGCACGGCATGACACCCATGACATGCGACTTTGAGGTCATCTACACCAACGTCTCCATTGACTCACTTATACAAGAATCACTTACTGCAAGCGACACGCACACCGCCAATCTGGACGCAGGTCTCCCCGATGGCGACAACAGCTCCGACTGGGAGGATGCCGCTGAGCTTTACTCAGTGGAGCCATCTCCTGTCTCAAGCGCTTCAACGTCCCCACAGTCATCACCGGCGCCCTCTCGTCCCACCACACCCCCTCCTACCATTGAGCCCTCAATATCCGCTGGCCCGGTCAAGATCGAGTATGAGCGCAAAAAGATCTGCGCTGCAGCACGTCGCCAGCGAAAACGCGAACAGAAACGCAATGCTGCCCCCCCGCGTACACCCTACGAGCGCAAGCCAGACCCCCGGTATTCTCAGCAGCATCGCGAGCAGCCAGCGCATAGGGTGGACCTCGACGCCGCCACTGCATCTGCTTCCAGCGGTGGGGCGTGGCTTGGGCGTCGCTCGAAAAAGGCACCTCCCCGCATGTTCACGCTCCCCGAGCTGCAGGCGATGGACGCTGAGCTCATCAAGTGGAATGGCAGGTTTGTGTCGTCTCCTCCATACCCCCTGCTTGCTAACGAAGCTCTCCCTCTTAGAGATCCTAAGCTTATTGTGGACAGGGAAGGGCGCATTATCGCCATTCTCTTGGGAAGACCCGAGGACCCAGAATGGTCTGATGTCGTCAAGGACGCGTTCAAGGCACTCGCACGTGCCCGCAAGAGGGCTCGACGCCATGGTGCATGGTGGGCTGAGGCCTCCCATCGCCGTGGCAGGTACTTCGCGCTCACCACCGGTGTCTCGTTCGGTGGAGGCCAGCGCGTACGTCCTCACCCCCTGTTGCGATTGACCCAACTTACGCCATCCGCAGCGCCCTGGGAACTTAGCCAACACACGGTTTGCCCGCCGCCTCATCCTTGACCTTCTGCGGAACAAGAGCCTTCGCCGTCTCGCAGGATTTCAATCAAGTAAGCATGTTCGTCCTGGAACCTCAACGCCCCACATAATTCACGTCCTAGGTGGTTTCGCTATGTATGCACCTAAACTCTACCGATACTACTGTACCATCCTGAAAGCGCTGTTCGAAAAACACCCCGGCCTTGTCCATATTTTCGATAATTCTATCTTTCCCGCCGTGACCTTCAACTGCGGACCCGGCGCTGTCACTTGCGACCACCTCGACCATCTAAACCTCAGCCACGGGCTGTGTGGTATCACATGTGGTGGGGACTTCGACCACACGGAGGGTGGCCACATCCACCTGGACCTCGGCGAAAAACGTGTTGTGATTGAATTCCCATCAGGGGCTTCAATGTTCATCCCCTCCGGCTTCGTGCGCCATGGCAACACCCCAATTCGACCCGGTGAAACACGGCACTCGTTCACTCAATACGCGGCTGGGGGGTTGTTTCGATGGGTAGCGTATGGATTTCAGTCGGCAAAGGCTTTGCTAGCGCAAGTAGGCGGGCGCGAGGCGAAGGAGAGGTTTGATGGAGCTCCGGGATCGCGCTGGAGGTGGGCGCTGGACTTGTTTTCAAAAGTTGATGAGCTTGATGCAGATCGGGCGGAGGTATTCGGCGCCTGCAATGTGTAGATAGTGCCTGATTTTTGTTGCAACTACTTTTTGTCCCGATGCAGCTGGTTTCAGGAGCGTAAGCGGCGGGTCGAGACTCAAGATGTAGAGGTTTGATGGGGCTCGCGCTGGAGATGGATAATTCTAATCAGCGACCCGTACGGATAACCTTTTCGAATTGCATCATGGTTCCTAATAATAGCCTCCTCCCTTGTTTTCCAAGTCGAGCTCGATGTAGATCAGTCTCAGTAACCTAGACGCTCAAGTGTATCTTATCTCGGACTGATCCGGCGGAGTCCGAATAAATGATAAGGAAATATTATATGTGCAGCACGATCACACTCAGAACGTCTTAGTTATCGAGACAGATGCAGATTGGGCAGAGTTATTCGGTGCCCACAATGTGTAGATAGTGCCTAGTTTCTGTTGTAACTATTGCGTGTGACTGGCCGGAAAAAAATCAGGTGCTGGATCCGAATTGAACAGACAACCTCTCGATGAAATTTTGGGCACTAAAGGACAACCCAGACCGAGTGTGCTACCATTACACCACCAGCACTTCCTATGCATCGATTTCAGGGGGTAATATCTGACACTTTATCAACCCGACATCGTGGTGGGAGATCATCTCAATCTTGATCTCGCGTAGGAGCTCGGGTAAACTTGAAATTCACCACCATGCCCGACGCAGCGACGCAAACAGAGCAAGCGGAACTCGACGAACTCGAGCGCGAATTTAAACGTGGTAAAGCGGGGCTTGATTCATTGTGCATGTTCATCTCACAACATGGGGCAGAAGCAATTATATATGTTGAAGGAAAACCAACAAACCCGCCGAGCGCCGCGATGTTGAGCTGGCTAACAAAGAATCTCGTGCCGGCGAAGCCTCTGCCTGAATCGCTGGCCAGGACCGAAGAAGAGAAACTAGATCTTGCGCGGTTGAGGCAGGAAAGTGTTGCAGAATTGATGCGTTTGCGCGAGCTAGGCAAGGAGAACCGAGAGAAGCTGAGGCGCGCGGGTCTTTTGAGGGGGTGGTAGAATGTAAATTCATTGAAGTGTTAAAGGCTATTATCGAAACCCCCTCATTCGTGAAGAACCACAGCGGGGTGTAGACACTCCTGTGGAGCGAGTCTTCAGGGAGCGAGCGCACGGGGGGCGAATGCGCCATGGTGATCAGAAGTGGGATTTGTTTGGGCGTGTGTGGTCTTCGTATCCAAAGAGGAAACAGTTCTGTTCCTGCGCGTCCATGGACCCGGCATATCGTGTAAGTCCCTACCTCCAGGAATTCCCCCAGTCGCGCTAAATTCAGATAGGATCTTATCTTCGAAACGATTCGGCAGCTGGAGGCTGACCCCAGGCCAAGAGACATCGACATCAGCAAATGTGCGCACTGCGATGATGGGAATCCTACCTTCCGCTGTCTTCACTGTTTTGGGGCGCAGTTCCTGTGCCGCAAATGCATGCTGCATCAGCACCTGCAGACACCCCTGCATCGGATTGAGGTGAGTCTTCCCAGGCTAACCACAAATTTTATTAATCCTCGACTAGATGTGGACAGGGGCGCGACTCGCAGGCGCTTCGCTGCAGGCACTCGGGATGCGCATCAGGTTGGGGCACAAGCCGGGGGATCTGTGCCCCTCGCCCCTCGCACAGAATGATTTCATCATCCTCAATGCTCACGGGGCGCACCAGGTTTCGCTGGACTACTGCGACTGCCCCGGCGCCGACTCTCATGAGAAACAATTGCGCACAGGGCGCTTCTACCCGGATCAGTGCACGTCGCCGAAGCATGCGGTGGCATTTGAGCTAGCCCATCTTCACAACGCATGGGCGACTCCGAGCTCCATGCGTGTGCGTCGCAACAGCCAGCGGAAGAAGACTCATGCGCCATGATATTGTACCTGTTTTTCTTTGAAATTTGATTAGGACTCTTGCGTGATAGTTCCGGATGTAATACCAAGTGATCCTGCCCTCCTGCCCTCAGTCTCTGTCCGCATCGAATGGACCCCCCCTCCCTGGCTGCAACTCGCGTCCGCTGGAAGCGCAAGGCGAGCGGTATGATTTCATTCCGTTCAATTCCCTGGCCGCACTTATCTGGATACAGATGCCCTCTCTCATTCTCATACTCCCCCCCCACCAACAGTTTCTTCTGCTGTGAGCATCGATAACGCCAGTCCAAAGCATCGAAGCATTGAACAAAATGTCACCGAGGATCAACAACCGCCTCTCGATGAGTGGATGTGGTGCGAGGCTTTGCTGGCCCCCCCGGTCGACGACCTGAACGATCTGGCGATCACGATGGAAGGATCGAATGTTTCAATGTGCGTAGACACCCTCTGCACTCGAGAGAGCGAACATACTTATTTAGTTATTCCTTACCAGGGATCTTGGATACAGCGAGGCTGGCTGGAGCGACGGAGAGACCCCGGAGCGCGCGTGGGCTCAAATCTCTGACAGGGACCCTCCAACCATCCTGTGCGACCACTCGTTCGTGTTTTTATGGTTGTTTTCGATGTCGCTGGGGACATAACCAGTCATATAGGAATCCAGAGGCCGGGCAGCTATGGGATTACGCGACACGGAGGCTGTGGCCCATCCAGTACGTATTCCAGCTATGCTTGCATGTCTCCGGTGCGACTGACATTTCTAGCGGCACGTACCACTCTGCAGAGCTCGACTGGATCATGGCAAATTCCTTGCATTGCACCACAAAGCAGATGGGCGTGGCACAGCGCCAAACACGCCTGGAGATGACTGCTTCCTTCACCAAGCCACGCCACAATAAGAAGCTCACAACCTACGGCTCACCGGTGGACGTGAAGCCGTCGATTAAAGTCTTCAGCCCCGAACACTTCCCGGTGTGGGACAACACCAACTTGGTTCCCACACCGACCTATAAACCAAGCGCTATGGACGCAATAGATTTGCTAGATGAGGAGCTGGAAAAGGATGCCGGGACGGTGGCGCAGGTGGAAGGCAGCGACGCAATGCGCAAAGTTATTGATTAACGTAGTTACTGATTAGTACTACAATTAATATAACCCCGTCCTCACAGTTTGCTGCGTATAGCGCTGGATGAACTTTTGCGAAGCGAGCAGGTATTTTCAGTGTCGTCATCATCCTCGTCGACAGGTATGAGCTCGGGGAGGTCGTCGTCATCGACACTCTCGTCAACGACCATGGGAATCACAGCGGGACTGCCACCCTTGCGTTTGAGTCTGCAGTTGAGGTCGTAGGATATGTATACGAAACTTGAAGGTGTATTTTTTGAGCTGCTGGCCAAAGCGAGACGATGGGAGCTTACAATTTATAATCCATATCTTTATACGATTCACCTTTTTGAAGTGAAGTAGAATCTAGAAGGACGGTCGGGAAAGGGTTTGATTACTAGGGATCTGGACCTACGGGTGGTGGCAGACATTGCGAAGGTTAAGTTTACAGTCAAGGGGATAGAGATAACCCTGGACGCCGGGGAAATCAAACAAGCGAATCAGCGATAAATGATGATCACGGACCTAAAACTGAATCTATGTCTTTCAGTCGCTCCACGATGCTGGACATAACCCAAGATGAGACAGTGTGTATTTTGCGCGAGTCGGCTGAGGCCCAGCAGCTCAGGTGAGAACATTGGAATTTGAGTGTTTCTTGTACGCTGATTGGGGCAGACTTGCAGAGGAACGGGAACAAGAGCTCAAAGACAGGCGTCGTTCGCAAGTTGTTGTCGCAGATTACAGGCGAATGATTGAGCATGATGTCCGTATGGGAGCTTTGAATGAGACGCAGCAGCAGCGTTTGGGCTGTATGATCGAGTTTTATTCATCTGGATGGGAGTCACCGCTTTGCCAGTCAGTCTTTCGTTCTGGATTCGGTTTGGGCTGATCCTCGGCAGGCATGGTTCGGAGTACACTTGGTGCAAGGAAAGAGGTTGTTCGTATAATGTACCTGGTTTAGAGGATAAATAGAGTACATGTTTTGTCGCGGCGAGCATGGAAATCGAAATCGGATGGTCGGCCGAAGGCCGTGCAAAGAGCTCGGTCCGAATGACACGTGCTTATCTGGTCACGTCGCGCATCTTTTTGTTGTTCTCCTATTGCTGGGCATGCGTGCGCGGCCGCGTGGGCGCACGCCCACACCCGGATTCCACCCCTTCAAGTTCCTACCCCCCGTTGTGTCTCTCCCCGATGGCTCAAAAGCGGAAGCAAAAGCGCTACCACATGGATTTTGCAAGAGATAATGTCGCCTCGAACAGTCGCGCAGGAGCAGAGCACCCCGGGGGTGGAATCATACTGGAGACAGCTCGAATGCGAAACGACGGAACCGTCAGGCATGAAATGAAGGTGTTACCACCTCCCGCATTCTCTGCGCCACCTACTGTGGCGCCCCTACATCCCGACGAAGCTAGACCCCGAGCCCACGCCTCCGACATCTACGACCACGACGAAGCGGATGTGGCCCAGGGCACTGATTTCGCCGACGACGAGCCCCGTGATCTGCGCGACTCGGTATGCTATGGGTTTAAGTCAGGGATTCAGATGCTGATTTCTTTGACGCACAGGATTTTCCCCTTCGCGAGTGGGTTCGGGAAGGCCGCGAGGAGTTCCTGGCCAAGCTGCTGCGTTGGCAGGGGCGTGGGGACCACCGCACGTACGACATCTGCCCTGGATGTGCAACGGAGAAGGTGGAATATAGATGCAGGATTTGCCTCGCAGGCGGCGAGATGCTTTGCAAGTCGTGTGTTGTACAGCAGCACAAATACAGTCCTCTGCATGCGATCGAGGTGGGTCTTTCGTTTTACTCGATGCGCATGACTTACTCACTTTTCGAAGTGTTGGACAGGGACTGACTTCGAGAGGACATCGCTCAAGACCCTCGGCCTCCGGATTCAGCTTGGTCATTGGCACCAGCGCGATCGACGTTGCGCTGTCCCTACGCCCGCGGCAGGCGACGCCTTTGTGATCGTCGACACCCACGGCGTTCACCAGGTCGGGCTCGACTTCTGCGGTTGTGGTGGGGGCGGGTCGCAGACCAAGCAGCTGCTGCGAGCAGCCCTGTATCCTGCGACAGTACAGGCTCCCAGGACAGCAGGGACGTTCTCCGGGCTACGACGATACCACTACCAGTCGTTCGAGTCCAAGTGCTCTGCGTACGAATATTTCAATAGCCTCGCGCGCGAGACCGATAATACGGGGTTATTCCCTTCGAAGGTGAGCTGAATAACCCAGGGTTTGGGATGTGCTAATATGTTAAATTAGGATCGGTATCACGAATTCTTGCGCATGACCCGCGAGTGGGCGAACCTCGAGATGCTGATGCGGGCAGCGCGAGGGAACGCAGAGACTGGTATAGCTGGGACAGCCCTAGGCGAGTGCGCGCTGCTGTGTCCCGCCTGCCCCCAGCCCGGCAAGAACCTCCCTGAGAATTACAAGAATGCACCAGAGAACAAGCAGTGAGTGATTAGAGATCGATCGCGAGGCGTGACTGACATGGAGGGCAGATTTCTGTACGCCTTGTTCCTTGCGATGGATGCGAATTTCCGGCTGAAGCGCAAAGATGTATCGA